AAAAAAAAAAAAAAAAAAAAATTTGCTAAATGTGAACACCATATGGGTCACATAATGATGTCAACTTCACTTCTCTGACATTCCAAGAATTCTCCCCATTCTACCTCAGGTCATCATGACATAAATCTGTGGATTAGCAGGCTACATACAGGATTATAGTGTATGCTAGCTAATTTATAAGACTTATAACACCTTACTTAAATGTAGCCAGAGTTAGACTAAATGTATTACTTCTTTGAAGCCAGAACAGCGTCTCCCCTCCAGCCACAATATTTTTTGTTTCTTTCCAGTCTGAGGCTAAAAAGAAAATCTCTATAGCATCAGCACATGAAATTTACTTTAATTATTCTGTCACCTATTTTCTTCCTATTACAGTTTCCTCCAGGTGTTATAAACTATGTCTGTCTATTTGAAAACAGCAAGTTGTTGGTTTTAATTGTCTTGTGATTGTTTTGTTTCTACCAGCACATTCAAGGCACACTTTGAATACCATGTTATAATTACATAAGTGCTGAAACTTTTTTATGAGTACTATTAAACAACAGTAAATAATGTTCTCTGATAGTTCTTCAAAGAAAAATCTGGAAAGGAAATAGACTTTTGCTATAGTATGTATCATCTGAGTAGTAACAAAAATATAATTAAGAAGTAATTCATATTTCACATGAATATGAAATTCTGCTTGAAACAGAAAAGGATTAAAATATTTTTTACAAAAATCACTGAATTTTTTAAGTAGTTTTTTTTCTGCACAACTACAGAATATATACAGAACATTTAGACCATGCTTCAATGTACTAAATTCAAAGTTGTACTTGGAGACATAGTATATATCATTTAATGATCTTGAAACCATACTTAAACCACTTAAAAATACTTTCTCCCATTTACCAATTTTATGTTTTGCTGCCAGTAATGATTTTAATATTTCATCTATTAAAAATTAAACAAAATTATAAATTTTGAAAAATTTAAACAACAAATTGAAGACCTTTAGATCTCCTGACTTGGTGAAAATAAGTCTTTTTGTCTAATTAGCAAACACTTCTGATATATTTAACTGTGCTCACTCAAGAATAATTTTAAAAGGTTGGCGTTCTAATTTTTAAAAACTAATCAAATTATTTTAGTATGTGTGTATATATGATATATACATGTATACATATAAACACACAAGCATCCTTATAAATTCATATATATATGTTCATATATATGAACATGACATGTATATATATGTCATGTTTGCACTTCTCTCTGAAGCCTCTTGAAACAAAGGTTAATTAGCGAACAGGTATTAACAGTGTGTAATGACACTGGTACTTAAAACACTTATTTTGGATAATTAGGTGTCTTTAGAGCTGAGGCATTAAAGATAACATTTTATAAAGGATCAAAAATATGACTAGAACTTTGGCAAGATATTTCCCAAACTTTAATTTTTCAAACTCTGTGATGTTGAAGACCATCACTTATGAGTTGCTATTAATGAAACATAAAATCTGTCTCTAAGACAAATATTATTAGCAGGTAAGAAACACACAAAAACAGTACAAAAAGTCTGAGATGCAAAAAAGAAGAACCACTTCCATTCCTTTAATCTCCCACATCTGAAGAAAAATTCTGCCCCAAATCTAGTTAAGCATTTTCTCCAAGTGATCCAAGAGATCCACAGACCAAAGTATCATAAAAAGAATGGAGGTCATCTACCATTACTTCGGGGGTTTTGACATATTCTATGATAACCTTTAAAAAAGGCCCAAAACCTTAGAGCAGTCCAGTAACTTCCCTAGGATTATCTTAAAAATTTCTCAAGTTCTTCTGAACCAAGAGTAGTTAAAAACTAGGATAAATTATACTTTACAGTGAAACACAATAGTTGGCGTTCAATTTAGGTTCTATGAAGGAAAAAGTAAGCAAAACAGATTACAAATCAACAATTCCACTGTATTAAACAACAGATTTATAAAATGTAACACATATAAAGAACATGAAAACTGTACCCTTTAAAAGAGTTTAAAATTCATTTATCTTTTTCTGTTTCAAGAGAGACTATATGTATAATTCTAAGAAAGATATATCTGGACAAGGCAAGGCACAGAAAAGCTGCATTTGATGAAAGCTAACAGATTCCACAAAATAAGGACATTTCAAAGGAGCTACTTTGTAGCCAGTCATATGACAGACAAGGATAAGCTGGTTTGTGTCAGAGTTAGAAGTTTTTCCTAGAATTCCAATTCTCCAGAAGAAAATTCAAATAGAGATGGGAAGAAAAGCTGAAAGAATGTTGTAGTAGGAAGAATTCTAGTACAGCCACAAGATTCTGGTTCCCTGGTGGACATACATAGTCTCCTAGTTACTAATAATATAGGTGCTAATCTAAGTGCTATTGCAAAGGGCTTTTGCATGTGTACTTAAGGTTCTGAATCAGCTGACTTGAAGGTGGAGAGATTTTCCTTGGTGGGCCTGACCTGATCAGGTGAGACTTGAAAAAAGACTGGACTTTTCCTGGCAGTGGAAGTTTAAAGAATGAGAGGTGTAAAATGGGATGGAGATTCTCCACTGCTATCTTTGAAGATGGAAGGGGCCATGTGGGTGGTCTCTAAAAGCTGAGAGTGGCTCCTACCTGACAGCTAGTAAGGTAGGAATTAGTGCTTAAGTAAGTTTAAGTGCTTAGTCTATAATCACAAGAACAACCACAGCTTAGAAGAATACCAGCTCTTGATGAGAATGCAGTCCAGCCAACATCTTGTTTTTAGCCTTTGGTGAATCCTTGAATAGACAACTCTGTTATGCCATGCCCAGATTTTGACCTACCTACAGAAACACTAACAAATGGGTATTGAGTGAAGCTGTTAAATTTGAGGTAATTGATTACAAAGCAAGACAAAACTAACATAAGCACTAAGCAGGTTAAGTCATACCATTTGATTTGAAAGAATCCAGAAAAGTTTATTGTAAGCCCAAAGTACTACTTCAAGAAATGCATCTAACATTGAAGACATATAATATTAAGAAACCAGAGAAAGTCACTATTAGATTTGGCCCTGTAGAAAAGGCAACTGAAGAAATTTTAGAGCTCATCAGCCATGGGGTAATCAGGAGACAAATGTGATAAAAATACAATGTGTTCCTACCAGAAGAAAGATAACTTTTCTGGATTTGGAGCCTTTATTTGTGAAACCAAAAAGCAGGATTAGGTCATCTTTAAGGGCTCTTTCAATACTTTCTATACAATGCTTGTTAAGATATAGTTCTGTCTTTTTTTATAGACATCAGAGATTCATGGGCACTGATCCAGATCCTATATGTGCTCAGAACTCATCTGGCTTATAAAACACTGCATCAGAAAGGGAACAATTTACTAAGGTCCAAAGCTTTCTTACCTATATTTGACCAAAGGGTCTTTATTACATAAGCACAGTATCTAACTCAACAAAAGCAAGGCTTTCTTCCCACATAAAAGCTCCTTTTCTGTCTTAAAAAAGATAATTTTTTAAAATCCCATTTTTAAAATTGAAAGTCTGTGTGAATGTGCAAAGGGAGGGAGGAGTTCGTAAGGTCATACACGAGGCAATAATATTAACAAAAAAGAAAAATTGGTTCTTGCACTGAGAGTAAATTTATACTCTAAATTTATATCCCTGTAAAAAAATTATACATTAAGTATAAAGTAGGCATTTAAAATTTAGTGGACTACTTTATTAAACTATAACCTGAGGGAAAGAGGTAGCAAGAGCCTGAAAGGGTTAATTTTGCACCTATATAACTTAATTAAATGCTATAGCCTAAGTAACTTCTTAAGAGAAATAAAGTCCATTGTCATGTTAATTCTAATTACTCTGAAAACAACTGCTAGGCCAGGACTTCTAAAATTGTTGATAATAACTTGAGTCTAACTAGTGCTAAAGAGCCAGAAATTTACCTTAATATGAATGAAAATGTTAAAAGCTTCTCAAAAATTAGTCAATGAAACAAAAAAAAGAATCTCAGAACTTAAATTCTCTAGAGAAATATACTGAAGCTGATGCAATAATGAGGAAGGGGAAATCCAAGGGGTCACAAAATAGCTTCACAAATAGCAAACCATAAGCAATTGAATATTGTTAAGTTTTTCTCTGTTCTCTTCACTTCTTTCAGTTTTAATATCTTTCAGTATCCTCTAAATGAAAAATTGATTAGAAAGTAATTTGACAGGGGAAAAAAAGCTGACATAATCAAATGATCCAGTTCTTGATTTTACAATGCCCACCCAGATGCCGCCTTTCTTACCTTGTCTATCCTATCTGGGCGGTTAGTAGCTGCCAAAATTGTCACATCCTTTAACTGTTCAATGCCATCCATTTCCGTTAAGAGCTGTGCCAAAACACGGTCGGCTACATTCCCAGCACCTGAAGAACTGATTTTTTTAAAACACAGTTTTAAAAATCTGATTACTTTCCCCAAAATACTCCATTATTTTTATAGATTATTCTATAACAAAATTATGTCTGTTTCAAAAAACAAAATATGTTGCAGAATTTATTGTTGAATTATCACACCCCAAAACTAACTATATTCAAATCATTTATTTCCCTCCATCATCAGTCACATTCATTTTCTTTTCAATAATAAAATATAACGATCTAGGAAGCAAGATATAAGATTATTTAAAATTGTCCATCAAATACTTAACTATTTAATCTAATCAGCATTTACATTTTGCATGGCCAATATACTGAATGGAAATGGGAATAAAACTTTAGACAGAATACACTTCAGAGCAAGAGAAATTTTCAGGGATAAAGAGAGGCATTACATAATGATAAGGGGGTCAATACTCAAGAAGACATAACGATCCTTAATGGGTATCAACTAACAGCGGAGATTTAAAATAGATGAGGCAAATATTGATAGAAGTGCAAGAGGAAATAGATGAATCCACTCTTCAGTTAGAAATCTGGACATCCTCTACCAAAATGGACAGATCCAGGAGGCAGAAAATCAGTAAGAACATAGTTGAATGAAGTCAACAGTACCATCAGGCAATTGGATATAATTATGATCCATATACCACTTCATCCATCAATAACAGAATGCACATTCTTCTCATGGTCATATGGAACATTCATTCACCAAAATAAACTATATTCTAGGTCATAAAACTTACCTTAACAAATTACAAACATTAAGAATCATACAATGTGTGCTATCACACCACAATAAAGTTAAACTAGAAATCAATAACAGATAGTTGGGAATTCCAAAACATTTGGAAATTAAAAAGCACTCTTCTAAAATAACACACTGAAGAAATCACAACAGAAATAAAAACAAATAGTTTAAACAAAATGAAAATACAAGTTTAAATGAAAATGAAAATACAAGTTATCAAAATTTCTAGGATTTAGGGAAATTAAGTGAAAGCAGTGTTTAAGGGGAAATGTATAGTACTGGATGCATATATTAGAAAAAAAAGAACTAAAATCAGTTATCTAAGCTTCTACTTTAGGAAACTAAAAAAAAAAAAGAGCAAATTAAATCCAAAGTGAACAGAAGGAAACAGTTAAAAATGAGAGCAGAAATCAATGCTATTCATAATGGAATCAATAGAGAAAATCAACAAAACCAAAAGATGGTTCTTTGGAAAGACCAATGAAAACAGTAAGCCTCTAGCCAGGGTAAGAAAAAAGGGAAAAGGCACAAATTACTAATATCAGAAATGAAAGAGGGGACATGATTATGGATCTGGGCCTTAAATATCTAATAAAAGATATTCTGTGAATATACAGATGTACTATGAAAACCTCTATGCAAATTTTCTCTCCAATAATGAAATATAAATTCAATCATCTAGATGAAATGGACCAATTCCTTGAAAGACACAATCTGTCAAAACTCACAAAAGAAAAAAGACAATCTGAATAGGCTTATATCAATTAAAGAAACTGAATCACTAATTAATAATCTTCCAAAACAGAAAGCATCAGACACAGATGGGTTTACTGTTAAATCCTACCAATCATTTAAAGAATATATTATACCAATTCTCTGCAATTAATTCTAGAAGATAGAAGCAGAGGGAATTCTTCTCAAACTCATTCTGAGACCACAATTATCCTACAAAACCAGACAAAGACATCAGAAGAAAACTACAGAGCAGTATCTTTTAGGAACATACAAAATATTAGCAAATTGAATTCAACAATGTATAAAAAGATTCATACACTATGATCAAGTGAGATTTATCCTAGGTATTTAAGGCTGGCTCAACATTAAGAAAAATCAAGGAATATAATCAACAGACTAAAAAAAAGAAAAATCACATGATCATATCAATAGATGTAGAAAATGCATTTGACAAAATCCAACCCCCAGTCATGACAAAAACTCAGCAAACCAGGAATAAAGGGAACTTCCACAACCTGATTAAAGAACATCTCAAAAAACTCTAACACACTTAATGGTAAAACAAGAAACTTCCCCACTCTGATCAGGAATAAGGCAAAGATGTCCTCTTTCACTACCACTTTTCAACACTATACTAGAAGTACTAGCTAATGCAACTGGGCAAGAAAAGGAAATAAAATGTATAGAGATTGGGAAGAATAAATAAAACTGTCTTTACAGATGAAATAATTGTCTACGCAGAAAAGTACAAAATCATCAACACAAACTCTTTTCAACAAATAGAACTAGAACAACTGGACATCCATACGCAAAAGAATGCATCTGGACACAAACCTGACATTCCTCACAAAAATTAACCCAAAATGGGTAACACAGAAGAAAATCTAAATGACCTTAGCTACTTTTTAGATACAATACCAAAGCATGATCCATGAAAGAAATAACTGATAAGCTGTACTTCATTAAAATTAAAAACTTCTGCTGCAAAAGATACCAGCAAGGGAATGAGATGACAAGACACAAGCTGGAAGCAAATATTTGTAAATGTCTGAAAAAGGACAGTTAATGAAAATATAAAAAGAACTCTTAAAACTCAATAGTAAGAAAATTAAAAACCAATTAAAAAATGAACAAAAGACCTAAACAAATACCTCACCAAAGAAATATAAAGGTAGCAAATAAACATAAGAAAAGATGTTCAACCTCCTATGTCATTAGGGAATCATAAACAAGAAATGGTAGAGGAATTTATAAAGATGAAGGGATATGTATTAGCCAGCTCAAACAGCCATAACAAAATACCCTACACATTGGGTTGCTTAAACAACAATTTATTTTTTCATAGATCTGGAGGCCGGAAGTCTGAGATCAGGGTGGATCTCTGAGGAAAGCTCTCTCCTGCCTTGCAGATGGCTGCCTTCTTGCTGCCCTCACATGACAGAGAGAAATAGAGAGCAAGCTCTCTGGTATCTCTTCTTCTAAAGGGCATTTATCCCATCATGATAGCCACACCCTCATGACCTCTTCTAAACTTAATTTCCTCCCAAATACCTCTTCAAATATTATCAGGGGTTAAGGCTTCAAAGCATAAATTCTGGAGGAACACAATTTAGTCCATAGCAGGGTGCAGAGAGGAATGAAAAAAAAAAAACAAAGAATAATAAATGGATAGTATTTCAGAAAACAAGAAGTTAACTATGTCAAATGCTGCTAAGTCAAGTAAAGGAATAAAAATGCTGGCTGGATTCATCCATAGGAAGGTTATATTCCCTAATACAGAGTTACACATACACTGAAAAATATTAACCTAACTGTACTATTAGGTAATGGTAAAATTCTTCAATTTGTGTTCCACCTAGAGGAGTCTGTGTAATATAATAGTGCCAAATAAATGGCCTACTTTCATCATAAGAAAAGTTCCTGGGCTCAAGTCATACCTTATTTTATATATGCTATTGCTTGCTCTGCCTTCCCCTAATAGGAACTATCCTTACCTATGTCCTATATACTATCCCTTCCTCCTCCAGTCAATTAGTAAGACTGTGAGATGTCTTATAGGTAAGTGTGAATATATTAGCTGAGTTTGCTGAGAAGTATAAAAATAGCTACTAGGTTTTGTTTCAGATTAGGCTAAAAAACAAAACCTTTGTGATATGGTGGGAGGAGGATCCTGAGGAAAAATAAGGGGGACAATTTCACTAGGAAACGCAACAATTCATTCAATTCAACTCACTCATTCAACAAACATTTATTGTCTCAAAGGCGAGGCATAATTTTAGGAAATGGGAATGCAAAGATTAAGAAAGCAATCCCCACTACCTCAAGAATTTTAGAGTGCAAGAAGCAAAAATAAAATAAAACACACATTTACTTGTTTTCCAAAATAAAAAAACACAAAATAGTTCTGGAAAGACTGACTTGATAACTTTGAATTATATTTGCTCTCAGTTTAAATCAAGAATCTGGATATAATAAATGAAACTAAATAAAATTAGATTACGATGACTGCTTGAGACCCCATGAGCAATGAAGAGGCTATAACCTATAACAACAAATAATATATGTATAACAACAAATATACTATTATAACATTTATTTTTAGAAAAACAAGAGCAATCTCATAGCTATCAAAGTCAGGTTTAGCCCGGGTTAGTACTGAATCTGAATACCACTCAATACAGACTGTTATATGTGGTAAGAAAGAGGCTAAGAGAGGCTAAGAAAGAGTCATTCATAGAGGCTAAGAAAATGACTTATTTTAACAAAATATGGGTTTATTATCACCCAATATATTACCCAATCTTACTTTGCAAATTTTATAAAACCAAAAAATCTGAATACATTTTAAAGGCATTCCAAATTTATATAAATTTTCATCACGTAATTCAAATAGCATCTCAGTGTCTTATGGCCTTGGATTAATGTTACAAACATAAATTGTTGCACAAATTAACAGAGATTTAAAGCTGAAAGAATGACACATATAAGCTTCATTATAAGCACTTTTTATATGAGAGCTTATCAGGAAAAAAAAAAGACCCTTACAAACTCTACAACAATTTTTCATATTGAATCTAAATTTTAAGTTACAGAAAAGAAAAAATAATTTTAAAGGACTTTTCAAATGCCATTTTTATTTTTATTTTTATTTATTTTTAAATTAATTTTTTATTAAAGTATCATTGACATACAATCTTATGATAGTTTTAAACATACAACACAGTGGTTCAACATTCACCTATATTATCTATCAAGTCCTCACCCCCTCCACTGTGGTCACTGTCTGTCAACATAGTAAGATGTTATACAGTAATTAATTGTGTTCTCTGTGCTGTGCTACCGTCCCTGTGACCTACCTATATTGTGACTGCAAACTGTAGTGTCCCTTAATCCCCTCTCCCTTCCCACCTGCCCTCCACAACCCCTCCCCCTTTGGTAACCACTAGTCCCTTCTCAGTGTCTGAGTCTACTGCTGTTTTGTTCCTTGTGTTTTGCTTTGTTTTTATACTC